AAACGAAGTTGTTTGTCGAAGCAGGCGAGCAAGTTGAATCGAGAGAATTTCGAGTATTACGACGAGGCTATATTGCAAGGCTGTTTTTTTCATCGCGGTTCCATGGTCGGTTCGCATAGTCTATCGCGCCTTTTGCAATTTTTATTGAGAATCGAGAATCCTTTTCAGGCTATTGATCCGTGCTATTCATTCTCAATACCTTTGCGATTCTTTACTGTCGATGAAAAAAAAAAAAATAATAATTAATCCTTCCTTTAAACGAGTTTCAAAGACGAAGATATTTAGAAAAATATAACGCGATCGTACCTGAATCTCTCGCCACGAGTCAACATCCCTCGCCATCGAGAACTCGGCGTGGAAATTATTTGGACGTCCCCGAGCAGGGTGGCTTCTATACTTTTTTTTTTTTTTCTCTCTCTCCCTTCGACGGCCTCCCTGTTTTTTCAAGCCACGTTGGAACATGGGCCCGCGTAATCCCTGTCTCGTCGCGTCAATAATGTATCCCCACAAGGACAAGAATCAATGACTGATCGTTCCTGTGATCGAGTGACCGGGACTCGTCCCGATCGGGAAACGATGAAGATTGATCGCGGCTCGCTCGCAGGGGCGATACATGTCCTCCATGATTATCGTTTTCCAACAATAATTCTTACCTATAATCCGCACTCTTCGTAATCCTCTTATCTCCGCGTAACGCAATTAAGCTCGGCTCTACAGGAAAATTTCGTTGAAAGGAATGGAATAGAAGAATCTGTTCGCGTTCGTAGATCGAATTTCTTGGAATTAGAAATTACGTTTTCGGGAAAAGAAAGTAATTTCGATCGATTTGTTCCGTTGACAGCGGATCGTTATTAATGTAAATCTGGAATATTTCAGGGATACAGTAAATCGATACATTTTTTTCTTCTTCTTCATCTCTCGTAACCGGGTTTGATTCGAGGCCAACGAACCGATGAACGAAGCCACGAAGGGACGAATCAATCGAATCGCAATTACCAATGCTCTCTATTATCGCGACTGTGCGTTACAATGCATCGAGTCCAGGCCAATCAGGCCAGAGAGAGAGAGAGAGAGAGAGAGGGGGAGAGAGAATTCATTATCTTTGTTGCGATAATGTCTGTTAATTTAACTTTGGTGGTTTTCATCGAAAAAGAATTAAGGTTTTTATTGAAAAAAAATCTTACGCAAAGTTAAAAGTCTTTGTTTCGGGATAAAATCGAACGATGCGTACGGTTACAATTTTTGGAACGTTTCGTTGATATCGAAAGCGGTTCGAGTTCATTTCGCAAGTTTTCCATTAAGTTGGAGAGAAAGAGGGGAGGGAGAGAAGGCATGAACTGAAAATTCAAACGAATAAGTTTCATTCGTGAGTCACAAGCGAAAATAGCTCGTATCCCGATAGCGAGGCTAATTTCGTAAGAAGTTCGATGCGAGTAACACGATCGACCTTGCAACCTGGGAAACTTCGTCAATTGGATCCACGATTTGGTGTACGAGGATAGAAATAGAGGAAAAAAAGAAAAGAAGAAGAAGAAGAAGAAGAAGAGAAGAACAAACAAATAAAATGGAAAGAAAACTTCGAAGCACAAAGTTCATCAAGTTACTCACCCAGGAATTGGCGCTACAATTGATATCGATTTCATGAGAAAGGAGATTGAGATATGGACATTTACCTGGAACAAAAAAGCGAATATATTCGTTAAATACAATTTATATTAATAAAACGTGAAAAAAAAAAATTGAATTTCGATCGAAATATATTTTTTTGTTGCAAAGTTTACCCGGCTCGAACAATAAATTTAGATACCTTGTTAACAAACCTTTATTAATTTTCTATCCATCGTTCTATCCTCTTCGTTATAAAATTAACGATCGCCGAAAGTTCGGCCAACTAATTTTCCCGGCCGTTTGAATAGGAAAAGTTGCATCTGACGTTGCAAAAAAAAAAAAAAAAAAAAA